CCCCCCCCCCCCCCCCCCCAAGGCGGCCACCGCGGCAGAGCTGCGGCGAAGGGACGCGGACGCACGGAACATGGCCTCGGCCGCGGCTCTCCAGCAGAGGCGGTGCGACGAGCGCTTGCGCGAGCAGGCGCTGACGATCCACCAGCTCACGCTGGAAGGGTTCAGCGCGGAGGCGGCGGCGGCGACCACACGCGCGCAAGAAGCGCAGCAGCAGCAGCAACGGCGTCAGCAAGACCGGGCCGGGCAGCAGCGACGATCACCTCCCGCGATGATGACCTACAATTCAGCGGTGGCGGCGGCGGCGGCGGCGGCGGCGGCGGTGGGTGTGGGAACGCCCGGGCAGAAGGTTCTCCCGGCGCCCCGCAGGGGCTATTACAGCTACGACGACGACGGCGACAGCGACGGGAGAGGCGGCGCTACTACTACTACTACTACTAGTACTGCTACCCGTCTGCGAAATAGCGGGGCCCCCGACGATACCACCGACGGAGGCGGCGGCGGCGGCGGCGGAACTCCTAGCGGTGCTGGACCCGACTCTGGTCACCGCCATCGTTACAACGGCGGCGGCGGTGTTAGTGGCAGCTGCTGGCAGAAGGCGTGGGCGGGGTATTCCTTGGACTCGGAATTCCCCTCCCCTCAACGGCGCTCCGCGGTGGCGGCGAGAGGGGGCCACGTAGACTGTCACAGCAGCGGCACCCCCGGCGACCGCCCGCAGCGCACCCGGGCAAGAACAGAGGACGAGGGAGAGGGGACGACGACGATTAGTTGTTTCGCTTCGTTTCCTGGACCGGGATTCGGGGCACCCCAGGCTGGCTTCGCGCAACAGCACGACGATGGTTAGCGGGGGGCAGCGAGCGAGAGTATGGTGTTGGTTCTGGCCGTGTAGGGGAAGTGGTACCAGGGGGCAAGGCCGTCTCTCTCGGTGAAATAAAAAAACGTTTTACTTGGAAGTTATACCTCTGATACGGGGTTTTGTGGTCGTATTTTGTGCTGGAGCCACGCCGGCTTTCGACGCCTTTTTTGCGTTAGTACGAGGCGAAACTTTCCATTTCATTCGTCACGTGACGCTGGGTGTTCGAGGCCACATACCCTCACCTCATGGTGGGAGTTGGCGACCCACCTTGGAGCGTAAACGTCCGCGGATACAGCAGTAGTCGCGGTTGTTCCGAATCTCCGGACCCCGCTTGGTCAGCAGGCTCGCCGTAGACAGAGACTATCTATGCACACTACGAGCGTGCGTGTGTTTCGCTTGTCTCGGTAGTCTGCGAGATGCCTGGAGAGTCAGCACAGCAGCACTGAGACTTGCTGCTGGGATGCTTGCCCGTCTAGTGTCATACTTTACGTCTAGATGCGACGACGGCGCATTTGTTCGGGCTCAACAAGCAGCAACCCGAACACTGCCTGCCATTATCATATTGTAAGTCGCACTTTTCGAGGGGGGTAGGGGGGCACAGAGATGGAATCCTCAGCAGGAACGTCTCCGGGAAATACTTGTGGTACAATGGGGGGCCCTCTATAGTGCCGGGGGTTGTCCCGAGATATTACGGGCACTATACCGGGCACCGGTACCATCTATTCAACCGGCACCACAATATTTAGGAATAATAAATATACACCACACGGACGCGCCACACACTGAAATGCGCACCGAATGGTTGTCATGATGTCGTGACCGGCAAGTCTTAGCTTTTTCGGCGAGAAAGTCTATAGAGCAAAGGCGCCCGATGTCCTCAGCTATATCCGACAACTGATAAGATGTGGACTGAGTACTACCGAAGTTAACAAACAAGTAGACTACGTCCTTCGTAAGCATGCATGCATATTGTACGACCGGCGACCGCGCATTTATTTTTTGTCCAACTACACATACAAGCTGGTCTGACCAAGAAGCTAACTTTCGTTCTTTCATGTCCCACTCTGCTGTTTCAACGAATTTAGAAGTCAAGTTTGGCGGGTGCTCGTATAAGACCATAGGGGATGCGCAGGTGCCGGAATTTTTCGGATCTGAGTTGATTTTAGGTATATAACTATCAATTGGCGGCATAGTTGGGATACTTCCTGTACTGAAATCAGCATAAAAAAAAGTTTCTCAGATCAAGCTGAAAATTGCTGTGCATGTACCTGGGAACATCGCGAGAGCAAAGATGGTAGTTTCAAGGCTCATGGCATCTTCCATCAGAAGTTATGGCCTATTAAAGAATCCGATACAACACACGAGATACCTGAGGCAACGTAAGGATCTCGCGATTCCCACGCTGTTTTTTCGAACTAGAAGCTGAAATTTCGACACGGCATCCCCATGAGTACACCAAACAAATAAGCCACTGCGCCATTTGACTTTTTTCTTTTTTTCTGCGACTTTTTGGCATAGCAAATATTCCCATGAATACTAATATCAGCCTAACTTGCGAAATAAAAAAAAAATCCAAATAGCGCAGTGGCATTTGTTTTTATAGTACTCATGCAGATGCCGTGTCAAAATTTCAGGTTCTAATGTTAAGGAGGACCCGATTCGCAGGGTATCCGTCGACTGACTTTTACCAGAATCGGTACACCTTCGCACATGGCGTCAGCTGGATACTGGTTCGAATCTCCTTGGGTGCACGTTTTTTCTCCTGACTTGGACATTTTCCCATGGACACCATGTGTGTCAGTCCTGAGAACACCTCTTGGAATCGATCTTATAAAGAACCTTGTGACACTTCCATCGAATTACCCGTCCTGGCCACAAGAGGTTCCCAGTTGAGGGTAAATTCTGTGGGTGGAGAGTGTTAAGGAGGAGGACCCGATTCGCAGGGTATCCGTCGATTGACTTTTACCAGAATCGGTACACCTTCGCATATGGCGTCAGCGGCAGGATTTAGTGTTAAGGAGGAGGACCCGATTCGCAGGGTATCCGTCGATTGACTTTTACCAGAATCGGTACACCTTCGCACTAACTCGAAAAAACCGCGTGGGAAATCCGCTCTAACCTTCAAATTTGCGTCTTGGTCAGACCAGCTTGTACATACATACATGCAGGTGATTTGATAGACAGACGTAGTGATTCTTGTCTGCTGCGGGTAGATAGTCAGCGTGTTCGAGCTATGGCACCGTGGAAGGGTTGGGACGGTTGGAATGGTGTGAGTCACAGATCCGGCCCTTTATTTTCAGACAGACCCGCTCGCGCTGGCTCGCGGATCCATTGGTGGTCCACATGGATGGAGGAGGGAACAAACGTAAAATTATTTTTTTATCCAAAGAGTCTACACATGCAGGTGATTTGATAAACAGACGTGGTGATTCTTGTCTGTTGTGGGTTGATAGTCAGTGTGTTCGAGCCATGACACCGTGGAAGGGTTGGGACGGTTGGAAGGTTGTGAGCTCATCATGACTCACAGATCCGGCCCGTTATTAGTAGGGATCCGCAGCTCGCAGATCCATTGTCTGTTGGTCTGTACCATCATTAAGGGAAGAAACGTAGAATCATGGCGGGGGTGGGGGCAGTACAAAGCGCGTGCCCCCTCATGAACTCGTGGTGCGTTGGTTCGGCAATCCAATTTCTCCGCTCTCCTCTTCGCGTCTCCACTCACACGCTCACACAACAACACTCTGCTTGTGTGGGCGAAGTGGACCCAGAGCTGGAGACGGGATTGACGACAAAGCGAGGTGCGTTCGCCGGTTGGTGTCGGCGTCGTTCCTCCCAATTGGACTCATGGAGCCAGCTGCTGTGATGCATAGCAAGCACTAGTGCCTTGCATGTACAGAGAAGCAGCAAAAAAAAAAAAAAACCGTTCGATGAGACTTGTCAAAGCCAGTACAAGAGCACCTTGGAACGGGTGTGTGTATGCGGTATGCAGTGTAGCCAGATGTAAGAACGCGTAAGACAGCAAGAGGTGTGCGTTGTGTCTGCCACACACCTCTCAAGAAAACACCATCGGACCGTTGGAAACGTTGCTGTGGGGCTCGTCTTTATTACGGAGTATTAAGGAATAGTAAATACGCAAACAGAAAGACTATACAATACCCAT